TTCATTTCATTCCCCTGTTCCTCTTCCCTCATCAACGACCCCTAGTTTGTCCACTGGGAAGCTTCACCTGGTTGGTATCTAAAAACTAGTCCTGTTCCATGACATGGAAACAACAGGCGAGGGACACAACTGCAGAAAACAAAAACTTCGATGACAAAACCGTGACTAAAACCATGTTCCAAAGCGGCAAGCTTCTGCCTTCTATCAATTGAAAAGATAAAAAGAAGATGTATGGAGAGGGGCCCATATCATGCCTAAAATAATGGCGGTTTTGAACATAAAAAATGGATTAAAGATCCAAAAGGATCAAAGTCAATGGGTGCTATGATGGACGTTTCAATTCAGCCTCCTTTTTAAACTCGAGAATATTGTCATTAGCTTAAATGGTAACGAGAATTAAATATGTTATTTTCAGTGTTTGGTGGTGAGGTTAAAGTTGTCGTTCTTCAACCCATGCTTTGGCTAGTGACTTTATCAGGAAAAAAAGTTGGCCAAAAAAATCAGGGAAAGGAAGGGGTCCATGTATTTTATTTTCTTTATTCATAAATTTTTTTAATTTATATTTTTAAAATATAAGTTAAAAATATTTTTTTATCATAAATTTATATGAAAATATATAAATTAATATTAATTTTAATGTTATAATTATAAAAATAAATTTAATTAAATAATTAATAAATTAAATATCACTTTTTATTCTTTTAAGATTGATAATTTTTGTCTAAAGTATATATTAAAAAAACTCAAAAAATAATTAAAATTTTGTTCTGACCAAATTTTGTATATATTATTTTTCACACAACTTTTTATCAAAATTATAAAAATTATAAATTAATTACATAATAACAATAAAATTTAAATTTACTAATAAATAAATATTGTTTTATAAATTAAATGTAAAATTTAAATCTTGAAATTAACACTCAAAATAATTAATTTTTTGAACATACCAAACTAATATGAAGAATACACTTTTAAGATTATTTTAAAAAAGATTATTTTCAAAATATATAAACAAGCTCAAAAAATACTTTAACTATAAACACTAAAAAAATAATCAGAAAATAATAAATTAAAATAATAAATATATATAATTTTATTTATGTATAATATTATATCTATATCATTTTTTTAAAAAAAACTGACATTGAATTTCTCTGTTGGTCTAGTCCATTTCTTCCACCTAAGAGAAAGAGCAATGAAAAGAAATCAAACACGCCCAACAGACAACCCTAGCAAGAGAACACTACGTTGTCCAACATCTATTGCCTTAAAACAATGTGAAGTTGTAATCACAATAGTAAAAAGTGGTTTGACTTTACATCAAAACTAAAGCATGCCCATTGCAAATCATCCACAGCGTTGCGATGTCACCTTCCCCCCAAAATTGAATTCAGACACGTCGCTACACGACAAAAACTCCACATGCACAGTGCACACATCTCCCCACCCGACAACGTGGTGTTACGAGAAGTCGAGAAGCACACCGAAGCCGAATGGTAGATCCACGCCCAGATTAAACGCTAATTAACCTCGCTTAATATTAAACAAATTTAGTGCGAGTGGTAACTTAACTAATTAAAAAAAAGCTATAAATTTAAAATTAAAAATTTTGAATTTTACTTTCAAAATAGGTGAGTAGAATAGAGATTAAGAAAAGCAAATAATTATCTCTGATATATAATTTATAATTTAATATATTAAAAAATATTGAATAACTTAAAGTATGAATTTTTTTAAATTTTTTTAATTTTAAAAAAATAATATACAATCTAAATTATATAATAAAAAATTTTAAATAAATGTCAATTTTTTAATATTTAAATTCTTTTTATATAAAAATTTATATTTATAATTAAATAAAAAATAAATTATAAAATAAAAAATTTATTTTATTTTATTTTTTAAAATTATATTAAATTATAAAACAAAAATAATTACTCACCTTTATTTTAAAATATATTTCGATTAATTTTTTACATATAATTTTAAATAATATTCTTTTATAATGTATGATTGAAAATGAAAGTTTTTTTTTATACAGTTTATAGTTCTTGCTGAACAATTTCTATTAATAAATTTTTTTTTAAATCATCTTTTATTTATTATAAAAAAATATTTATAATTGGAAACAGAGGGAGTAAGCAAGACGGGACAAAGCATTTTATTTTTCTGGTTGGGAGGACTTTTTTAGACGGCAAGAACGTAGACGGAAGACTTTAGCAATCTTACATTTTATTTTATTTCTCTTGAAAACTTTTCATAAGAAGTCACTGTGTTTCTTTCTTTCTTCCTTGAGCAGCCGCCTTAGATGATATATTTATCCATATGTACTCTTTTCTGTGTTAAAGCTAGAATCTTTGTGATTGGATGATAAGTCGGAGTTGCTTGCCGGCTGCGGCTGAATTGGGTTTTCCGTTGGGTTCTGGGTTTAGAAATTGGAGGAGTTTGAGCGCAATGATTGAGTTTTTGGGTTAATGTGAAATTTGGTCAGAGGTTCGTCAGAGCTGGTAGGTGATGTAAATTAAAGAAAGAAAAGCAGATTGACTGGTAGATCAGAATACAAAACCCTAGGAAAGAAGAAAAGGGTGAAGAAGAAGTATTGTTTGGAAGTGGGAGATAAATGCTCTAGATTTCAAGTTCTAGTACCGTAGGTTGATTACCAAAGAAAGCCCTAGAAAAATTAAGGAAAAAAGAATTCAGTAATTATGCCGGAATTGGATAATTCCCCTACTGCTTCCGGTGAAGTTAGCGTCTCCTCCTCAGGTAACCAAAACCCACCTCCCAAACCCACCGCCAAGAGAAAGCGTAATCTCCCTGGAATGCCGGGTACAATCTCATGATACCTCACTGTTCGAAAGTGATTATCTTGCTGAACTTTTCTGTTATCTTATTCTGGTGTGTGGTTAATATTCTTGATGCAGATCCAGATGCGGAGGTGATTGCTCTGTCTCCGAAGACTCTGCTAGCTACGAACCGATTCGTGTGCGAAATTTGCAATAAAGGATTCCAAAGGGACCAGAACCTGCAGCTTCATAGGCGAGGACATAATCTGCCATGGAAGCTTAGGCAGAGGTCAGGCAAGGAAGTGAAGAAGAGGGTCTATGTCTGTCCCGAGGCTACTTGTGTCCATCACGATCCCTCCCGCGCTCTGGGCGATCTCACCGGAATAAAGAAGCACTTCTGCAGAAAACACGGCGAGAAGAAGTGGAAATGCCACAAATGTTCCAAGAAATACGCTGTGCAGTCCGATTATAAGGCTCACTCCAAGATTTGTGGCACCAGAGAGTACAAATGCGATTGTGGGACTCTGTTTTCCAGGTTTTCAAAACTATCTGCAAATCAAATTCTCTTAGAAATCGGAAAATTTTGTTTTGGGTATTAGTTGAGAAGTTGTTTTCTGTTTTGGGTTTTTGAAGGAGGGATAGCTTCATCACGCACAGAGCTTTCTGTGACGCGTTGGCAAAAGAGAGCACGAGACCTGAAACTCAGTCTCCGGCAAAGAAACAGAATCAGAATGAGGCGGTGGCGAATCCCAAATTTGATTTGGACCCGAAATCTCAGGCAGGGGATTCATCTCCGTCAGAAGCACCACCACAAGCACCAGAACCAGCTCCAACCCCAGCTCCACCAGGACCTCCTCTTTCTCAGTCAACTGCAGTAGTGTCTTCTTCTACAGTTTTGCCTATTCGAAGTTCAGGTAATTAAATATATACAGGACTAAATTTGCAAAGTCGCAATCTTGTTTTTGTCTTTTGTGGTTTTGTTTGGATTAAGCCACAAAATCTTTGTTGTTACTGTCTCCGGCTGGGCATTGGAGTGTAGTATTTTTTGTCTGTTCTCCGTGTTTTGTTCTTATGTGGATGCATCTCTACGGTAGAGATGCATAAAATAAGGTTCAGATTCGATTTTTGGCATCATGATAAAGAAACTAAAGTGATTCAAAATCAAGAAGTGGGTTTATATAGAGGAAACCATGATTGAATGTAATTCTTCAATTTTCATCTTTGAATGTTTGAGTGATCCCCTTTTGTTTCTTCTTATTTTAGAGTTGCCAGAAAATCCCACTCAGATTGTGGAAGAAGCACCATTGCCATGTGGCCTCAATGGAAGCTGTAGCAGCAGTACCAGTTCAGGCAGCACTGGTAGCACTAGCAGCAGTGTCTTTGCAAGTTTATTTGCATCATCAACTGCATCTGGAAGCTTACAACCCCTTCAACCCCCTGGATTCACCGATTTAATTCAAGTTATGGCACACCCAGATCACCCTGTTGATCTTGCTCCATCTTCATCAACAGACCCGATTTCTTTGTGCCTCTCAACCAACCATGGATCGTCTATATTTGGTACTGCAGGGCAAGAGCATAGGCAATATGCACCACCCGCACAGCCAGCTATGTCTGCCACGGCATTACTGCAGAAAGCTGCTCAAATGGGTGCAGCAGCTACTAATGCATCACTGTTTCGTGGATTAGGGATAGTTTCATCATCTTCACCGTCCGCACCACAAGATAGTTTGCAGTGGGGTCAGAGGCAAGTGGAGGCTGATAATGCCTCTGTCCCTGCAGGACTCGGACTGGGGCTTCCTTGTGATGGAAGTTCTGGATTAAAGGAATTGATGATGGGAACTCCTTCTGTATTTGGTCCTAAGCAAACTACCCTTGATTTTCTCGGATTGGGGATGGCTGCTGGTGGCAATCCTAGTGGTGGCCTGTCAGCTCTAATTACCTCTATTGGAGGTGGTCTTGATGTGGCTGCTGCAGCAGCAGCATCATTTGTAGGTGGAGAATTTGCTAGCAAAGACATTGGAAGGAGCTCATGACCATTTGACTTGGGGAGAGTGTGCATTGTACCCGGGCATCTGATGTTGAACGCCTGGAGTTGCAGAAGGAACAAATCCTAAATATATAACCTTCCATAAAAGAACTGCCACTGAGGAGGTTCAGTTTAGCATGAGTCCTGCAAGACGCAGTTCGGTCTTAAATTGTTCTGCTTCCTTCTTCTATATGACCAGGTCGAGAAGGAATTCCTCATGTCCCTCATGGCAGCAGTATGGACTTTTGTAGTATAGGTAAAATGTGGAGACAGCAAACTGTTGTTATCCTTGTGCGGATGCTATGGACGGAGTATAACTAGAAGCACTATAGTCAGGTGAATTGGTGATTGAAATTGCAAGCGGGCATTCTTTGTGTTGGATTCATCATCAGAGAATTATGTTTGGTTCCAGATCTAGGCTAATAGTAGTCCGGAAAGGCAGTTGGTAAAATGATGAGTTGGATGAAGGTTCCACTTTTTTTTCTTTTTTCTTTTTTCTTTTTTTGGTCCAATCAACCTTTCATTCTGTTGTTCCGGTAGGAAGTTAATTTTGTTGTATTATTTATAATATTATATGTATTTATTTATTTAATATTATATTATATTTATTTAATATTATATTATATTTATTTAATATAATATTATAATTATAATGTTGTGATTATTTTTATTTTTCTCCCTATCCCATGGACACATAAGAATCGACCGACATTTAAGTTAATGTGTGAAGAGCCAATAATTCTATTTCCTCATCACTTGAATTAGTAGAAATCTACTTACTGCCGATCAAAAAGAAAATTTTGAGAAAGTATAATAGCAGTACCAGTACAGAGAGCTTGGGTCACATTAATGTTGCATCATACCTCTAAAATAAAGGCAAAATCAAATGTTAAGCTTCACTGACCCATGCTGACGTTCAAGCCCATGTAAAGATAACACAGGCAAAACTATTGTTGAAGGAACCACGCATGATTGTGAAATTGTTTCTCCTTAGATAATAATGGAAGAATTTGAATTAATCTTTGGAACTTAAGCCAACCTGAATGAGGTGGCAAACACATTATTGGTTTAATATTCTAATCATATATTTAGTTTCTTTATTTTTGGAATCTAATTTGTGTTCTAACAAATTCATTCGAGGATGTCAAGTTTTAGAGTCAGATTGACTCAGACAACTTGGTTGGGTTTAATTATTCATGTTTTGCATTCGAGTAGAAAACCCTAAAAATCCGGCGAATCCAAGATTACTAGCATAAGCAACAAAGATGATGATGTTTACTTTCTTATTTGTCTTGTGTAGTGCATTAGAAATGTAGATATATATAAAAAGATTTATTTATA